CTGTAAATTTTAGCCACCTGTTGCCAAACCAAGAACTGACAGAGGCTCAGAAAAGAAATCCACTCCTCATCGCCGAAATTATAGAGAAGGAAGAAGCCCAGGGAAAGATCTTGAAGAGATTCTTGACAGTGGAAGAAAATCTCAGATTTTCACATCTTCAAGAAATGAGATGAGTGATGCAAAAAAACATGGAAAACAAAATAATGATGTTAATGTAGAAGACATATCTGTTCAGGTAAAATTCAAGTGTAAAATTTTGAGCAAGTTATCTTTGTTGTTACATGTTTTTGTCATTTTTTCTAAAACCCTTTGAAAACTTTTTTGGAAATCCCAGGTAGTTTAAGTTAATGGAAAGTTCTTGCAATGTTAAACTTGAATTATTTTGTCTCCTACCATAGAGTCTTAAGTATATAATATATTTGAATATTTTTAGCTGGTGTGTGTAAACAAATTTCCACACTATCATATTTGTTTTTGGATTGTTTATAGGAAAGAATGTCTAAGTTTTCAAGCCAGAGTAGAGCTAATTCTTGTGAACGAAAAGATGTTACATCTAGAGGAAGTACCAGTAGAGATTCAAAGGGAAAGGTAACACATTTTCAAATTTGCTATAGATTTGCTGTTAGATAGCCACATGAGCACATGCTTTTTTCCCATTAAGCTTCTCCAAGGTGCTCTTGGTTATAAGTTTTAAAACTGGTCCAAAAAAAATTAGTCATAGATTAATATGCATAAATTCTTTCATTGGCAGTATCTCGTCCATATTTTAACACTTTTCACTGATTTTGCATATTTAGATGTATTTTGATTGTGATATCAATTGATGGTTTCATTAGGGTCTGTAAGTTCTCCTGGTGCATAGAGTCATTAAGTATTTTACTCAGTCTACAGACAAATTAAAGCCATTTTGTTCTTCAAAGCAGAATTTTTTATCTTTTGTACATTTGTGACTCAAACCCTCATGTAAAATCCACAAAAATGGCTTATTCGAAGATTCGAATCAAGACTCATTTGGTCATTGTTTGATATTGCCACAGAAATTTGACAGTTTTTTAGCTATAGTTTCATTTAGCTATAATATTGTTTAAAAACTGATTTCTAGAGTGGCTCTATCAGTGATCGTTTGGCAATTTTTGAGACATCGTCAAAGGCAAATGAAAGTCGTTCCTATGCCTCTCCAAACAAAAGTAGTGACACAAAAGCCACGCGGAAGTCACATAGATCGGAAGAGGAAAAGTCAGCAAGCAGAAGTCCATCTAAGAGGTTGTCAACAAAGCTGCAGAAGACAAGTACTATGAAAGAGCCTGGTAATAACAGGAGTGAAGTGAAAACCCCACTGACCCCACAACTGGAAGCAATCAACAACGGGGATGTATCATGTGACTTTGATTATAATTCCGACGAGAACCCTTTTGACATCTCTTCAATTCTAAGAGCTGCCAATGAGGGTGAAGCACAAGTGCCTAATGCTGTGGAATACAACAAAGCATCATGGGATGTTATGGATTATCTAACTGGTGATTCACCACAGGTCAATGAAAACAAACAAGGTGAATAAATGCTGATATCTTGACATGAAAACAAAATGCAGGTTTTATGAAATGACTGTTTTCTTGAAAAAATTGATCGGAGACCAATTGTCTCTTCTCAACACCTAAACACTCTCCACTGTCATCTAGAGTCTTAAAAGAACCATCCTTGAAGGCATTTGACATGCATAAGTACAGTTAATCGAAAAATAACTTTGGCCAAATTGGTCAGAGCACGCGCACAAGAAAGGAATTGGAAACTGCTCGCATGAAACAACTGAGCGCTGCTCTAGGATTTCACTGATTTGCAGATAGGCAGAAACTGTTCACGTGTTTTTCTCTGTGCGCAATTTGATGGCAACTGCTCGTGGTCGAGTGGTTGTAAGCCACTTTTAATTGTGTCAAATGCCTTTAAAGTAGCTGTCTGCCATTATCTGGACTTTCGCTAGTTATTCGTAATAAGCGGATGTCACCGCTGCGATAATCGGACAGCTTCTACAATGACCCAAGGCTATGACCACCTGATTCAGTTTTTAAGCCGCTTTCGTGACATACAGCCAGGATTTTTGTAAAGAACGTTCACTTATATGATATCTATCTTTTCGTTAAAAGCACACATTTTACTTTTTGAGCACACGTGTTTCATTGATATTTTCTTTCTACACTAAAACTAATTTCGATTTTAGCTTCCTTGAGATTCGATATTTAAGTTTTAGGAAAAGAAAAATCGGTCATCACATTACAGGTTATTATTGGTTTATACAGCCGTCGTTGTTTCCTTTAAACATTGATAAATGATATAATACTTATATCCATTATGAAGATACTTGCTTGCATCATGGTTATAAATACCTACAAAAATAATCACTTTTTTGCTTCACCTTTTGGCTTTAATGTTCGTTAAAGTGTTCTTTGCAAACAACATCATATTGGACTGAGTAATCAACTTGCTTTGAAGAATGTTTAGCACGTGGAACATTTATGTTATTTATTTTCAAGCTCAGAATCACAAATCTGTAAGAATATCGAGGCTCGGAAAAATTAAGGTTAACTTGTAAGTAAATGTGCTTATGGACAACAGTCAAAAATTCTCAAAACATGTTTTTATGACATCACACTTAAGAACTTTGCTCGGCTTCCGCACGTTTTTCTGTTAATGGATGCATAGAATTCTTGCTGTCTCTGTTGATCCGTTGTTCTCAACGCAGAGATTACGAGCTCATTTCAAAGTATCTCCTGCGTTGTTTTGCCGAAAGACCAGGAAATACAGTGCCCAACTGCGCTGTTTTTTGGTCGATCTTCCGAAGATTAAATCAAAACAACGAAAAAAACAAATTCTCTCAGTCTTAGTTTTTGTCGAAGTCGTAAGAGTGAATTTGGTTCATCGAATAATCACTTAATAAATATTTAGGGAGGAGCCTTATATAGACAGTGGGTTGGTGAGAACTGACGTGTCTGGCTTTTAAAGTTTTCATGTTTAAGACCCTACTAGAAAGTGGCTTTATTGTCATTTTTTGCCTACTTAAGATGGCCTCTTTTTATTAATCAGCCTCCCATTTACTCCAGACCAGTAAACCCCAGACACCGCTTTGTATTCGTTAATTGCGATTCGTTAATTGCTATTTCATTTTCACCAATGTTCCAGAAACATCGCCATCAGCTCAAGACTTTCATGAAATCTAGGCAGTTTCTCAATTTTAGGACCCTAAGTGCAGTTATTTCTCGTCTCATTAAACCTTAACCATTAAACTCAAATATTGATACTTTGAATGGTCTATTTCTTTTCCTTTTGCCCGTTAACATGACTTTTTATTTTGTTATTTAGGCCAAAAAAGAGACAGTGTTTACAGTAACTATGGTGCGGATGAAGACATGTCGGGCTTTGCGAAGGAAATAGCCAAGAAAAGGAAGGCTATCAAAAGCCCATACCAGGAGCAAAGCTTGAAAAAGATCGATTCTAATCTGAACGCAAAAACGCGTGATCTTGTGAGAGAAGAACTGCCAAAGGCGAAAATTGTCGAAGCGAAGGCTGCAGAGGTTAGACCCAGAGAAGAGAAGAAGGTGACACATGACAGAAAGACTGTCGAGCAAAAGGTGAATTTCTTACTTTGTTCCACCTTTCTTAATTGCATCATGGTAAGCGCTATCCAATATCGGTTCGACTTAGCAAATGTTCAATTCATCAGGGGTTACTGTGTTCCTTTTTGTCATTCAGAGACATTCATAGAATCTCCTCTGTTGTTTCTTCACCAAATGTCCTTTCCCTAGTACCTGTTGGTACTTCAAAGTAATTGACAAAAGACAAATTCGCATTCTTATTCTAGCCCAACTATCGTCCCTCTATGTAAAGCTTGTTTCATATCAATTCTAGGCCATCGTTTCTGAAAGTGGCACATACTCTTGCCAATTGCCTGATGTTTCAGCCGACTACCCTATGACTTTAAACGATTTTTATTACGCGTACAGGGCTTTGGTCCCATTCAAACTCTTTTTCTGCTAAGCCTCTCTATCTTCAACTACAAAAAGGAAAATTTCTTTCCAAATTGTTAAGTCGAGAGGTATTCTAGTAACGGAAATGCTGGGACTATTTCAGTGAAGTACTCCGAGTTTCTTGTCTTGCCAAGTTGAATTTAGAAGATGTTATTTGCCTCATAGCTTCCGCTACTAAGTTAGACTGGCAATTTTTGATGCAAATTCACATGAAAGAATGTTCACAAGTATTAATGACCATTTTCTTAAACTTACAGCAAAATATTCAAAATGGAAGCCGATTGAAAAGCGAAGCTAGCCAGAAGCAACACAGGCACGCCAAGGAAGAAAGAATGCAACTTGAGCAGAAAGAGGCCCCTCCTAAGCCCCCAAGAAAGGGGAAGGACTCGTTTGAAAACAATCAGCAAGATGTCAATATGATCGATAGTGTTGAAACTTTTGAACACCAGAATACGAATGAATCAGTACGCGGAGAAGATAAAAGAAAACGGGGAAGAGATGGCGAAATTGCTGCGGTGGTACTTGACACAGAAAAGGCTAGCTCCGGCCATAGAGATGGTGCATATTCGATTCGTGAAAAACATGAAGAAAATGATTCAAAGAAACTGAAGCAAAGCAGAAAAGTATGTGATTATGATTAAGTTTAAAATCATTACCATTTTAATCTGTCCATCTCAAAGGGTTGGTGAATCAAGATGTATCTAATAATGAGAAATTTTCTATTAGGCAAGAACTTTCGCGTAATGTTTTTGGGAACTATATGATAGTTGTCTACAATGTAAAATATCCAAGCATTTTCTTTTTGATCTCTGATAACCGTTCATACAAAATGTATTTGATTCACAAATTTTGGTTTGTGAACGAGAAGTATGACTTAGAGAATCTACAAGCTCCAGAAATAATATCCTGGCCTTCTTTTCTCTTTAAGAATTACCCAAAGCTGTTTAGGAAGGCTGTTTGACATTCGCACCATAAAGTTTATTTTATTTTTTAATTGCTTGTAGCACCAGAAAGCGTTTGTTACTTTCTTGTTTTTGATTAAATTCATTGGCCGTAGCGTTTTCAGACTGTTTCATTTTGATCATAGGTTTTTAATCGCATCTCGGCAGGACGGGACTTTTTGCCATGATTTTTTATTAGAGAAACAAAGAAAAACAGTTATTAGATTTTACCTGGCGTCTTCTAACAATCTATCTGTCGATCCTGGTCGGGCTTAGCTGTGTATTTCCTGTACTGAGTGAATTGAAAGTGAAATCCAATACTACCTACTGATTAAGAGCTTACAGCAAATATATACAGTAGAAACTCGCATAAAAGAACCTAGATTTTTTTTGGCCGCCTAAATAGGTTCTTAATTAACAGGCTGCTATTCTAAATTCCAGTCTAAAAGGTTCTTAACAAGGTTCTTGTATACGTACAGGCCTTGCACACATTAACAATGTTTTCCACCGCAGGAATTCTAAAGGACACACTTAAAACCAGTTTTCTTCATGTTATATTTCAGCCAATCAAATGAATTTGTGTTGTTAGATTGTCCAGTTAAAATGCAACATGCCTTAACCTTCTTTACTTTAAGCTGGTTTAATTTGCCAGTATGTATAGGGTGTAAAAATACCACTGTGGCAACTTTTTTTCTTATATATATATATAAGAACCTTTCCAAATTCAGCCTCTTGAGGGTTTTTTATTATGGGGTTTCAAAAGATTAAATTTCAGCCTCAAGGTTCTTATAAAAACAGGTTCTTCTATGCGAGTTTCTACTGTATCGGATTCTTTCAACTTCTCAAGGTGCTGCTATGGCTCCAAATCAATTGCCTTGGGGCCTAAAAACAGCAATCGCAATTATCAGCGACCTGTTTGAAATGGTCTGTGGCATTAATATTTGTCTCATAATCAAGCATGATTTCCCCAAAGCAGTACCCTCAATTTTTTCCAGCGATCTGTGCTTTTTTATTTGTCAATTATATACGCCGTCATTGCTTTAGTGTAATATTAATAAAATGCAATAGCTCCAAGAACATGCAAAACTACTAAATCCCCATCTCATATCCATCCCTTCAATGTCTCCTTTCAGTTATTTTTTTAATTTGTTATCTTTGCGATACTCAACTCTCTTTTTTCTTGCTTCGCAAGTATTTAAAGCATGTCTTCACACAGATCCTTTCTCTGATGACCTCTTTCCTTTCCATTGCTGCTAATGTAAAACTTTCCTCCTCCTCCCTCCCTCCGCTTTTAATCCTTCTCTAGTTGGACTGGAATAGATTTAATTTGGTCCGACCCGCGACATTCAGACAATCTTCTCTGTTGTTTCTTCACCAAATGTGCTTTCCCTAGTACCTGTTGGTACTTCAAAGTAATCGCTTTTAAAGACAAATTTTCATTCTTATTCTAGCCCAACTATCGTGACTCTCTATGTATAGCTTCTTTCATATAAATTCTAGGCCATCGTTTCTGATAGTGGCCCATACTCTTGCCAACTGCCTGATGTTAAAGAAGATTCGTCCAGTGCCGAATCTGCCAATGAGGTGATTTTCTCGCCAAACTCCCAAGCGTATAAGAGCGTCAGAGAGAAAAAGGTGTCCAAAGGACGCAAGGGAATGAGAAGGTCAATGAGTTTTAGCGAAGGACAGTCTCCCATCATCCCGGTTATACACAAATCCGGTTATAACGAAGAGATGAGCTCCAAGTACAATGTTGTTACTAGTTGTACTCCGTCTGGAGAAGGGGAAGAAAAGAGCATATCGGATCAAATCAAGGTTTGTTCTCCAGATTTTATTAATTTTCTCTTAGCTGAAAAAGATTCTTAGTTGGTCTTTACAACCACAGTTCTCATCTTTTGAGTTTCCTGTTTTTCTCAACTGTTGAGCTACTTGAAAATGGTGTTTACATATGTTAGAGGTTAGCTCCTGTTCTGTGGGACAGTAAGGTGATGTTAAGCGGCTAACGTGTGCCTAAGGGTGGACTTGCTTGCTACAAGTCTCACTATCTAGTAAATAGTGAAAGAGCCTTGTAGCAAGTCCAGCCTGAGAATGGTTTCTAGCCACTACTAGGGATAGGCGCCAAGGATATCTTTAACGCCCCACAGTTGAAGTTGTTGACACATGCTAACATTTGAAGAGTACCTAAGTGTGTTAAATATGTTTAAAGCTGGGCATGGCATTGTCAATGAAAGATTTTAGGCTTGCTAATGGATTACCGTTATTCTGGCCTTGTTTATAAAGTTATAGTGATTTGATGAGGAAAGGGCCTGTGCTAATGTGGCCATATCTCAGTAAATTTGAAACATTCAACTGATTTTGCACATTTAGAGCTACAATATACTCTCATTAAGTGAGACCCCGGATAGGTAGGACGCCCGCTGTATAGTACAGATTTTCCCGGTCCCTTGAACTTGCTTACCTTTTTCAAGCTTTCGGATAAGTAGAACGCCCGCTAAGTAGTACACTTTCGCTCGGTCCCCTGAGTGCCCCACTTAACGAAAGTATGCTGTTTTCATAATGCTGTTTTTGGTTATATAGTCAAAACTTAAAAATTCTTAAAATAGATTTATGTGACGTCGTCGCTTTGGTACTCTATTGCCTTGTGTGCTGTTAGCTAGTCAAAGAGTGCACTCAATGCTAGTTTAGACTTGTAGTTTGTTAGGCCATGTAACGAAATGAGCCGGCCTAACTTAGACTCAATAATTGACTGATGGTCGCATGTTTTCTCTTCCTCAGGACCTGCTAGATTACGGTGTTTCCCAGCAAAATATTGTCATTCAGACCAGTCAAGCTTTGAACTTGTCATTGAATGGGGAGGAAAGAAAGGGATGTCCTGAAATCATCGAGGGAGAGCGCCTTCTTCTTCTAGCTAGTAAGTTGTGTTTTATCTTTGCTGTTTGATTAGAATTATTTTATACTTTTTTGTTCTAGAGTTGCTCTAAGATTCTCATCGCGGGGAAGTTTCACACTTTCTTTATGAACAACGTGAGACTTCCACCATGTTGCATATGCCACCCTCTCCTATTAATTCTTAATGGAACAGAATTGTTCTGTTTGCATCCTCGGTTATTTTGAAAACATCTCCCCCAATAATAACCAAATTAATTGAAGGTCAAAAATCTGACGTTACGGGGGCGGGGCGGTGGGGATCCTTCCAGGTGATCTAACGTAATGTAATAAGTAACGATATAGGTATTTTTATTCGAATACCGTTTGTAAGAGTTCTGGCCTTTATATCGATAGAGTTAGGGCTCATTCGTTCATTCTTTTTTAAATATTCGATCAAGGCGACCACTTAGAGCTAATGTCTCTTTTGCAGCAGGTCATTTCATCAGGTTTTAACCGTAAACTTAATATCTGCTAACTATTAGAGTTCATATTTTGAATAATTCGGCACTTGTTTCATTCGATTAGTGTCCGTGACGTATGTATGATAGATATGTAACAAATCCCCTTCTATTAATAAGAATTCCCTCTCTTATCATGCACCGAAGAGTATGAAAGAGCAGTTCATTATTGCTTGAAGTTAAGCTCCTTTGACAAAAAACTTCTAGTCAAAAGATTTATTATTTCTACGATACACACCCCGTGGAAGATCGTTAAAAAGATCTTGAGGCTGTACCATGCTCAACTTATCCCCCTTTACCTATCTTGGTGTATTGTGCACGTGATTGGTTTTGTTTGTTTCTGTGGTACAAAGGGTATTTGGTGTTGGGTATTTGGCTTGAAGCTATTCTTCTTACGTCTCCTTAGTTTAAATGCATTTTGTTGTTGCTAAGTAAATAGAAAGTTTACAAAATAATATTTCCGTAGCTAACCTTCATTCAAAAAGTTGATTCTGTACTGTTAAAACTGACCTGTTGACTTAAGTTTTAATTGGTCTGTTGACTTAAATTAATAAACTGTAAAAAGAAGTAGAAATAGGAACAAAAGGTAAAATTTCACCAAGTATATCGTGTGTTGTCCCTGCGTTTGGCATTAGCAACGTTCAGTTGCTACAAAATAGGCCCAATTTATGGCAATCGCAATACGAATGCTAGACATTCAAGGCCAGAACTACATTACATTTCAGGACTATTAAGGTTTAATGCTTGCCACATTGTGCAGATATTTTCTTCCCAAGCTTTGGTGAAATCTGTTTTAATTAGACTCTGAGCCGCCGCTAATTAGCCAGCTGACCTGAATTTCCTTTTGAATGACGTATTTACTGTTTGTGCCTTCTTGTTTGTATTCTTTGCTTATCAATCTTTTATAATTCGATGTATCTGAATCTATACGATAACGAGATGTTGATGATATTTCTTTAGGGTGTTTACTTTGATCAACTATATAAGGATGATTACTAGCTTATTCTCTAAGGCACATTTCAGAATGGGACGTCATTTTTTATGTTTTGCATGCTATATACCTTCCTTGTGAATAAATGCCTCAAATGTTCTTCCGCAACCGGTATTCTTAGTGCCAGTTGTCTTGAGAAATTGACTGTGTTATTGTATTTTCATGCAGTAAGATATTAGGCCGGTTTTTTTAATTATAGTAGAAAAGCATACCGGTTTGTACAAGAGTGTTTAGTGGGCGAAAAGAGTATTGTTCTTGTTTTGCAAAATGAAATAGCAGATGTATCTTCGTAACCACACTTCGTAACCATACGTATTTAGGGACGAACAGGAATTTTTGAATATCTTTAATTCTCAAAGTTATCCAGGACGGGTTTTCTAATCTATCACTTCTCTTCCGAAGCCGTTGAAGTGGCTACAAAACATTCATTGTTGACGCACTAAATCCAGATTTTCTAAGTTTGCGGTCGGTATTAGACGCGCCAAGGAGTGTGGGAAAGCCGTCATAACGATAGAAGCTTTTTCTGATATTTGATTATGCAAACTTATTAAATGGTTGGGTGCAACGTTTCAACTTGTCTTTTCGTTTAATTTTTGTCTCTGCCTTTTTGTTAGGTTTTTTTGCAAACTTAGGATTTTCATAATATATGTTTTTATATAGATTTATTTACCCTGTTGATGGTAGCGATGCTGTAAGTTTTATAAACTTTTACCCAGTCAATTTGCGCCATATTTTAAGGTTTCTATATTCCGGTTGAAATTCTTATAACATAGATCCTGCCTAAACTGTAATAAACTTTCATCTCATGAGGGTTTGAGACAGCTTTTTGTCGCTATATTGTATCTATGTAGTCGTTATTCCTAATCGGGTTTATCTTATCAAAGCGCAAAGAAGAACGGCATGTCTCGACGAGGTTGAAAGACTCAAGCAGCCAGGCAGCCATCGCAGTAAGAAGACGGCGAACAAAGCATGCCTACCTTGCAAGGCAGCTCTCGTTATTTCAGGTATATTCTGTCAATTTCTATCGTCACTGAGCTTTCGCTGGTCCGTTTTCGGTCTATTCCACATCTACTGAAAATTACTCGAGATCTTAGCCCCTAAAAACGTTGTAGTGTACCTAAATTTCCCTACTCAACTTCATGTAAAAGTTTACGTGCATGTTGCTTATTTCTCGATGCGCTTTCAAATATCAAACAAATTAAGCTTGTTGGTTTGACAAAATATGAGAAAATATATTTTGCAAATTTTGTTAGCTTAATTTCTGCCGGCATAAGAAGCTGTCATCAAGAAAGTATTGAATAAACGAATATCATTTTCAATTGGTTGAGTGAGTCATCGACAAAGGAAGACAGTATAATGGACCAAAATCTTATCTCAGTGACATGGTTCTTACTTTTTAGATATCAAGTTGCCGCTGAATGCTGATTTCTTGGTTGCTCTAAGAGGTGGAAGAATGGGTGAGCTACCATGTCTTTTGTACGCACCATATTTTAAAGGATTGGATTTTAAAGTTCTCCTTTACGTTATCCTGCAGTTTTCAGCTTTTTTTAGTCCTTCTTAATAATATGTGACCTTTCTTAATTAAAGATTAAATTGATGCCAGCATAGCGCAAAACACTACTTCCCTTCGAATGAAAATGAACTTGAAACTCTGTTTTTCATTTTCTTTCCTAACTTAATTCCTTGTTATTTATTTTCCTTTGCAGATCTTGGTGTTTTCCATTTTGTTGTTCTCATCCAACATGGGCCTACTCAAATCTATTCGACAAAAGTTCGCTGCACTTACGATGAACTCACAAGGAATTTCATTACTTTCAACGACCGTATTGTTTTGTAAGTTCTTTTAAATTTCTCAAAAACCCCTAATTGCTGTTAAATGCAAAAAGCTTCAAATCTTTTACTGGTTCTGTATCGATAATAGGTGTTATTTTTTGTCTGTTCCTTAAACGTAACCTTTCTTTGAAATCCAAATTTTTCCACCTTTTTCTGCTTCTGAGACCCTTATTCGTGCTAAATAATTTTATTTCTTTCTTTTATCCTTTTACATTCTTTCCTTCTTCTTTTGATTTTTTGTCGAATTCCATTAACAATTTCAATACACAGCTCTTTAAACTATGAGTTGATTTAAACTTCAAATGAAATTTCATTTTAGAATATTTTCTTCGTTATTTATTTCTAGGAAAGATGTACCACATGACTTCGTTTTGAATATTAAAGTTTTTGGAATGGTGAGTAAAATGTTGATCAGTCTTTAGAGAATTTGAATACTCCTTTATTCAGGACCACTGAAAACTGGCTTTTGATAAAATTACAACAACTAAAATTTTTCAATTTATCAAACTCTAGAATTGTCCTCCTTTGAAGTGTATCAAGGCTGTGGAATAGTTGACTGCAATTGGCCAACAATATGAAGATGAAACAATTTTCTTCTGTCAGTTATGTTAATTTGAAACCAAACTATCACCTTGTCTTGAATCGTCTGTTTTGTTTACCCTTGTCAATGCTTCAAATAATACAAATTCGTCATTCAAAGTTCCCTTTCTCTTATGTTAGCCATTTAACGGAATTACCCTCCCCCGTTCTTTCATTTTCTCATTGATCACTTTACAGATAGGGTTCTCAACATGAAGTCAATATTGTAGCTAGCTAACGGTATATACATCTCATATAACACAACTTGTTTTGCGTGAATATACCCTGGGTATACCTTCTTTGACTCAAGATAAGTTCTTGCACATGTAGATCTTTTCATACGCAAGCTTATCATTTCAGCACACCAAGCGGGCATCTGATGTTGTGAGCCGTGGTAAAAAGTCCCAGGTGAGCCCTTGTTTTGCACTTGCTGTAAAGGAAGCTTAGTTTAAACCTCTTTACGTGTGCACCATACTGATCTAAAGTTCTTGAGATCCTCTTTATGATGACACAACACAGACACAAGGGACGCAAAGAGCATGACAATGAATCTTTAAGGAATCAGCTAGCACGATCAACATAAACGCAATTGCAAGCTGTATCAAATTCCAAACAAGAAAAGGGTTCCTGTTAATTAGGCGACTTACTCTTTGTTTCAGCAATCCAAAGAAAGCCCTGGGCTGATAAAGAATATGTTCTCATCGCTTACACCAAAAGTAAGTCAATTTTATTTCTGTCTGATAGTGATTTATTTCTGAAAGCAATTTTGGTACAGTGAATGATATATAGCAATAGAATAGAAGGTATGTTCAGTTTCTGAATGGGTCTTGTCAGTTTCTAAACGAACTTGAAGATGGTTGTGCAAAATCTCAGTCTCTTTCTTAATTAGTGTTAATCTCTGACTTTCGAGCATTGCTAAGATATGTTTATTTAACTCCCTACATTTAACTTTTGCTTCAACGAACTCGTTTCAATCTTCTACTTGTGACTTATAAATCTTGACTTCTTGGTTCTTTTGTCATTTGTTTTAACTTACGTTTTTTCTGTTTTTCCCTTTTTAGAAAAGGTTGAATTCTGGAGATGACTCACCAGGTATATATTTTTTGAATTTTAAAACCACACATCCTTCTTACTCAAAATATTGTTGAGTTAATTTAAGGACACATGGCTGATAACGGGCTATGCTCGAAACGTCGTTATTTATTTTAAAAAAAAATTCCTGGTACAATTTAGTTACATTGATCGTTATTATACCATAAATGGCCTTCTTACACAAGGACTCTGATATTTTCTAGTGCGTGGTTCTTCTCCAAAGCCTGTTTTCCGATCCACAAATTTCACATCAGTTGGAAATGTATCCCTAAACCTCTCTACTATAAGCTCTGGAAGATTTGTTCTCAATCAGGTTTGTTTTTTAAAACTTTGTATTTTTCCTATTCATTTCCTTGAATTAATCCTAATTCATTTCATGTTTTCTAAAATTGTTCTATATGAAAGCTTTTGTTTTTCGAACGATTTTAATTTAAAGTTAATATAAGCTAGGAGTATTTTTGAAACTTTGAAGAATTGTTGGTGATTTGTTTTTCGCATAGATACCTGTTTTTGTATAAAAAACTTTAAACTTGTTCTGAAGTACTCTTATATATACAATTTCACGCGTCATGATTCTTAAGTGTTATCAAACATGAAATGTGAGCGTTATGACTATATCGATCTTTAAACAATTGTACAATTTGCAGCATCTGGTGACGTGGAAAGCAGTCTCTTTTGATATACTTCAAATAACAAATGTTCGGAAACTACGAAAGCTCAAACAAATAGCTTTTAGCTGCTAATTTAAGCAAAAATTCAGTGTTGTAGCTCTGTTTGTCAGTACGACTGAAATTAAAAATGTCCCAATGCTTATTTGTCTTCGTTTGTTTTGAATTTTTCTCATCCTTTTATAAAGGTACCAAAGAACTGCCCTCTTGACGGCTTTGTTGAGCTGAATGTTGATTGCCTCCCTGAATTCACTGCATCAGCAAGAGGATTTTTGGTAAGTTATACTACCTCAGAGATTCCAATTCGATTTAGATCATGTGTGCATAGGAATGAACGATTCAAGAGTTGAAGTCATCCTTGGGGTTTTTGATGTCTAAAAAGCGCCTCATCCGATAACGTATTGAACATATCAGAGTGTCAACTTTGTCTAAAGAGCAAAGTGTTGAAGTAATGAAAAGTTAAAACACCACTATTTGCACCAGGTATTTCTTAATTAATCCTGTTAATGCTTATAGCCTTTAAAATATACTTTCAAAGCTATATTTTTCATTATCAATAGAATAAGCTCAAACTTTTTTGCAAGTGCCCCTATCAAGTATCAGGGGACTTAGTTAAGGATATTTGGTATTGACTCTTTGACTGCACTGTTTCGTGCTGCCCCAATTCATACACAATAGGTTTTATCGCAGATGAGTTAATCCATTACCTATCCATTTTTAGACAATATTGGAAGAAGTTGGCGGGTTCACAGCTTGGAATAGACGATGGTGTGTCATGAATGGAGACCTGATATCTTTCTGGAGATTCCCTGATGAAGAAGAGCAGAAGGTATTTTACAGTACATGACAATTCATTAGTATAATGAATGGAAGTTTAAAATTCTCTTTTTTCCTTGATATTTGTAACAAGTATGTTTCTTCCTGGCTTTTTACATATAAACACATGTACAAATGGATAGTAACACTATTTAAGTCTTAGATACGTATCAACAGCTAAATAGTGATGGTTTTGTCATATGATTCACTGTCTTTTTTAGCCACCGACAGCCACAATAAATCTGCAATATTGCTCGAATCAGTTAGTCGATGTTGTGCCACGAATGGATTGCTCCAGACCTAATACGTTTGAGCTGATGATAAAAAGACCATTGACCAAAAATGATATCCCGTCTTTGCTATCAACTGTAGAGGGAAAGGAGCTTCACACAAAGTATGTTTAAAGTTTTAATTAGCAGTTTGTGACAAACCTTTAGCCATACCCAACACGAATGGGCATATTACCGTGGAACCATGGCAACCAGACATTTGGCCTATGACCATCTAATGCCATTTTCAATTCCCAATTCTTTTTTTATTTGAATTTCCATATCTGTTGGGTCATCAAAATGTGACAAATATATACTTCTTTCCATTTTTCCCTTTCTCAGTGAAATTACAAACATACTGTCCTACGTTCATTCAATACTGACCAGATGCGCTACCTACCCAAAATATTTTCTTGACAAGCTGATATAAAGCAATTGAATGTTTTTCATGTTTTGTTTATTTTTATTTTGCTCTGCAAGCAAACTAGTGATACTGTTTCAATATTTTATCTTTATGATATATTAAGTATTTATGCCTTTTCTGCAGATACTGGGTGTCGGCAGACAATAAAGAAGACAGAGTTGCCTGGATTGAGGTATTGAACCGCCAGCTCAGCGACAGCAAAGCTTGGAGTTCCAGACAGAGGCCAAAAGTGCGCAATGGAAACAATAATCACGAGAGGGCCAAGGACTCAAATGCCAGCCCAAGAAAACAACACCGTGTTGTCGCTGTTTAAATAACTTTGTGGCCTATTATTTAGAGACATAACCAGAGTGATCTGAAGCTCTTTGTAGTTTAGTCATTGTATAAAAAGTTAAGTAGAATTTAAGACGCAGAATTAATTTATATCATCTCAGAGTTTTCGTATACTTATTTACAAGATTCAGTCAGTTTTGCTGAATTCAGTCCTGAGGATAAATGATTGGCGAACAGTAAATTTTATTTGCGAAGTGTTACAATCGTTGACGGACAAGAGCCTGTATCATGATGGTTTTTGCGACCAAGTGCTGCCCAGTGTGGTTCGTAAATTACAATGCATTGTAGCTCTTGATCTTTCATATTATTTTGTTTCCCTTGTAATTGCTTGCAGAAAACAAATTCAATTTTGCAAATTCTGCTGAGCAATTTTCGAAGGCTACAAGAATGGAGACTGAAAAAAAGAATTGTATCCCCAAATATCATACTTTATTGTAAAGCATTTCATTAAGTGTTGTTTCTCAAACTTATTTTTTGTGTAATTGCCATATTTTGTACATAGCTTGAATTCTTCTATTTTCACAAAATGCGTTTGTTTTGAAATTGTTCTTATATTTTTTCGTCTTGAATACTTTACTTTTCTTGAAACCGAGTCATAAAACTAGGATAATCATTTGCAAGAAAAGTCATCGATTCCACTTTGTTGCTCATCCACGAAGTGACTTTTATTTCAGTTTCTCTGCACTTCCAGATCAAGTTTGTCCTTCTGTATGGACATACCCTGGACAGGGTTACATGACTGAAATGCTCAACTGTAGATTTAGAACCCAATTCCATTCCACACAAATTGCGAGGGAGAGGCCTCCTTAACAGTGTTTATACTGCTTCAACTGGTGAACTCAGCTAAAAATGTGTTGCAAGACAACCCACATCTCTGTTTTAAAGGCTTTTTATCTATATTCTTTCTTCGTTGTATCAGGCTCCATTAGAATCTTGCTATAAAAAAATTGTCCACAGCGACATCACATTCAATTTACAAGATCTATAACGACGGGAATCACCAGAATCAGGAAAACATTACGGTCGCACGATTATTTACCGAAGGAAGGTCCACGAAAAACTATAGAAGCTCCTATGACACAACCAGGCCACGCCCACTTTCTATTGTTTTGTGAGGAAGTTTTCCCTTCTGTGATGTTTTTGTATGGAGGAAGGTTAACAACTTTTCTTGACTCTTGGAATAACTTTGATTTTTCCATCACAATAGTTGGCAACAAAGTAATATATAGAGTCATGGTTCTAGAGATTCCGCAAAAGTTTGAGCCAGCCGCTAAATCTTCAACCCCTTTTTCAACAACTTTGTCATTCCGTACACAACTTTCTAAATAAAAGTCACTTGATCGTGACATTCTTTATATTGTCTCAGTTAATTTCAATTTCTGGAAAAGGAACCTAGTTTTTTATCAATCTGGATTAACAATCTCGGACAATTGTATGTCGTGAAGTTTGAAAAAAAAACACAAGTATGCTCCATTTATAATACAATTTAATAATACGAAGAAAAATAGTATTTCTAAATATTTAGCGCAGAATGCAAAAATTTCTAGGTATTGGTAATAAACTATAGCTAATACAAACATAGACAACGAGAAGCCGTTCAAAACCCCAATCGCCTTTTTCATGTCTTTCTCACTTGTTGAAAGATCAAGGTGAAGCTAGATATTTTTTAAATGATTGTCGACTAAATAGAAAAAAATGTTTAGAGAAAAAGAGAGTCTGGCTGGGTTTTGGCTTCTGCTTTCTAAGTTTAAATTAGAGATCACTAGCAACTTTCTAGCATCGAACGTCAGACATTACAAATATAGAATCATAATCTAAAATGAAATTTGACGAGAATACATATATTACGTTAGAGAAATTTGCTAAACGAAAATTCAATTAAGTCCCTAAATACAACCTTCTGAAGGCCTGGGTTTACTGTCTCACGACCGCATGACGCTAAAAGAATTTCTAACGGCGAACCTATTTCAACAGAAGATGCCAAGTAAATAAGTTTTATACTGTTGATATCAAAATTCACCTACAGGCATGGCCACAGTTGTCGAGACAAACGCCTAAATATTCCAGGCAGCATGCATATGGAATCGTGCATCCAGCAGCCGCCTTTTTCCCTATTAGAGGTTGATGGGTATGCAATAAATTAGCAAAGATATCATCACGGAACTATGCGGGGTAGGAGGGGGGTTGGTAGGCGTAAAATCTCGTCACCATCTGACCAGGATTGTAGGATACTTTAATTCCTGTCTTTAATATTATCGTAATTGCAAAAATATAAGCTAATTACAAAATTCAGTATTTACGAAAAATACAAACATAACACTATCGGAAAATGAGAAGCCTGATGGACCGAGTTTTGTCAATGATATTAGAACCGAGTTCTTCCTTGAATGCGACAAACTGCCCTTCAGCCTGCGGTTTACAGTCACAGCAACGGCTCTGGATAACGCATGCACACACAGGAATAAACGGGGATAAAAACATATCCAGGATTCTGCGATATTTTCGATGAAGAGCGTAACAAACCTTTGAAGCAATGTTCTCAAAATAACAGAGTCTGCAGCCGTAACAAAATCAAGTCTTTTGAACCAGATAAATAAACTAACTTTGCAGTTTCTTAACCTTCTGGCATTCAGAGTAATTTGAAAACCAACCAGGCCAAAAACCTCTTGGTTGTGCTGTTGGGCCGTCTTATGTTCACTGGTCCAGTTTTCTGACAAGCTACCACCAAGATGTTCAGCAGAGACAGAAATACTTGATCAAAAACATTGGCTATCCGTGTTCAAAAGGGAGATTTGTTTTGAAGCAAAACACTTCGTACCCTTGCTTGAAGAACAGAGTCCCGTCTAATCTCTGGATTATTTGGATCTAAAGTCGGCTGCTCTTGCAATGATATCTTCATAACCAAGTAAATATAAAAACCAACAGAACCCTGCCAAAAATAAAAACTAAATAAATATCCAATATTTTATGCAATTATTCAAACAAGAGCAATGTTTGTATTCAAGAAGAAATTATGATGTCAGAGAAGGCTTGGCAACTGCCAGGGTCCAATTTCCTTCCACCCAGCATGATTTGCGTTCCTGTCCCCCACCATCTCTTGCACCAGAATGACCAACAAATCCCATGCTAAAGTAAATGTGCCTTGATTGCTTTTAAACAACCAACTAAACACGGTCGAGTGTTTCTATTATTTTCAAAATTTTGAATGGTATAGTTTCCAAAAAAGTCAAGAAACGAAAATATTTGAATGCGGAGTAACATGCTTTTAAACTTACCCTCAGAATATTGACTTCTGTGTTCGCAGCCAATTATGAACAATTTTGCTACTGAGATTCTTTCAATTTAAGAGACGGCCTTCCCGAGACAAGGCATTTTCTTGGCACAATGACTTTAACCAATGGAACTGAGGTCTAATGAAACGGTGGAAATGAAACTTCAGACATGGTGAAAGAATCTGAAAAAGACAATGTTTCTAAAATTATTTTTTCAAACATAGAGAATTTCACAGCATAAATCCTGTTTTTAGCTTGTATCTTGCTAATAAAACGCCTACGACGGAATATACATGAACGGAGGATAAATGAACTCGAAGAATGTATGAAAATTTCTTGAACTAGAAAAGGTCAATCTCAGTATGAAAAACAGCTTTTACAATATGAAAGAGAATATAACAAAGCATACCTTGACAGGTCAAAAATGGTTCCTGCTGTCTTCATTACAGTCATATGGATGGACAACAACAACGACAACAGTGCAGAGTGATCCACGAGGTGTAATGACATTGGCAATCTCTCAACCAAGAGACGATTACGTCAGCAATGCAAGTCTTCACAGAAGGGACTTCATGGTTGCATGCAGTTCAACAGAGCGTTCTGTGTTCTTCATCCAACCTGTCACAGATGAAAGGTCTTCCCAAGTCGTGAAGCTCTCCTTGAACTTTCTCTTCTTTCTTCCTCAATGTGAACACATTAATAAACCTCATCTCTACTCTACATACAACTCATTCGTACATAAATCCCAAACGCATTGCACCATATTCAGTTAAAATGATGACTACATGTTTGGAAAATTGGCTTATTGCTAAGGTTTGAATGATGACAGTAGATCATTTTTCGAAAAATACAGTGCAATTAACAAAATAATACTTTACGGTATATATTACAAATAGTGCCGAAATCTAGATATAAATATAAATTTGTTCTACAGTTGGTAAACTATGCAGGAATTTTCTTACATCTCATATCAGTCCAAAAAAACTAGCAAAAAGAGCTTTGCTTAACCTCTTGAGCAAGGTATTGTTAAGTAAATTACCACTTATATTTGAAAAATGGCGGTCAGAACTTTGTTCCTGATTAACATAATCATACGTCCTCTTGAGCATGTTTCTAACATGGTCCCTTGGAGATTTTTTTATTCATAATGAAATTCATTCATAATAAGTCTGTAAGCTTCTCTAAAGTAGATATACTGTTGGCCGACTAGGGGTAACTCAAATGGGATTATTTTCTATTGGCCTTATGCTACGAATGTTAATCAGGGGAGTTAAAAAGGCCTCCAATGAGCTTCGAAAATTATGGGTGACCTTACGGTTATAGGCAAAATAGGTTTAAGCCTGTTGGCAGAAATAGGAACTTGTGCTTGGTTTTCAGGGATGGTAAAACCACTGAATAACCTGCTTGGATAAGAACTGATATCATTGGTTAGTGGTATGTTCCTACCAGCATCAGCATCAGCATCAGCTTTGAGGCACTGATGCTTCAAAAAATCTATCATTGTCTCGATTAAACCATCTGAAAATGCTTCTGCTGCAAAAAAACGAAACAAAAATATCAGAGACAGTATCAGAGAAAGCATTGGTTGCAGGCAACAGTGAATTTTTGACTGCATGAAACGGTGACACAGTGCCAGTGTTCCACTTGAAATACCAGAGCAATATAAAACCTCTGCAGGCTTTATATCATTAATGCCAAATTGTGTCTTTCAAATGCATTTTCAAAGTAATATGATCTGCCATGTGTTTTGTGAGACTACCCAAAGCGATGGATTGTGCTAATTTATACAAGGTTGTTAGCCATGGTCAATGGGGGAGATAAAAACAATTTATCTTTTTGAATTGTTCGATAATTTTCTCAACTCTGAGTCGCAACCGTTTGCTTCCCCATACGATGCAGACCTAGGCTTCCTTTCTCTGACTGGACTACTTAAGCGTCAACATTATTTTCATTCATAGTAAGGTATTTTGAATATAATTGAGAGATTGGCGACACTGCGCCATTAAGAGACGTTGAAGAGACCTTGTGAGGTTGCAGTTAACGATGAGGCAAATTGCTTTCGATTGGATTTTGTCAAGTAGGCACAGGGAAGATTTATAAGCACGACCCCAAACATGAGAACAGTACTCCAAGGAAGGCTGGCGTTTAGGATTTATAAACTGTCAAAATGTGTGATGATGAGACTAGATGTTAAGCAACAGAATAAATGTGAGATTTTCACTTAGGGCTGGATGACACTGAAAGGTCTAGTCGTGAAAAAAGTAGAAATGTCAAAATCAGCACCATTCATTGAAACAGTGGGAAAGTCAGGGTTGCGTTTGAATGAAATGACAGCCTGCATGGCTTTAGTCTGATAAAATGTAACGAGATTGTCTTTACCACGCCTCTAAATGACTGCCAAGTCATCTGTGAGAAACGAGACTGAAATATTTCTTTAAAGAGGGGCGTTGGTAGCAAAGTTATGTGGTTATGTGGACAGAGCAATGAAAGTGTCATCGGCAAAAGAATTTATACTTGTAGCGGTGGAAGTTAGTGGATCATTGATGTAAAGGGAAAATAAAACAGGCTATATGACAGAACCCTGTGGAACAGCCGCATTAACTGAGTTTGGAGAGGCAGCCGTCAACTCTAATGGCTATGGACCTATCTGAGGATACATGGGGAGTTTAACGTTAAAAGAAAATTGTATATTGCAAATAAAAAATAAATAAAGTGCTTTTAAAAGAGAAATAGATTGCTGCTAACCTCAAGCTAGACATAATAATAATAATAATAATAATAATAATAACAATAATAATAATAATAATAATAATAATAATTGTTGTGATTGGGGCATTAGGGTGTGTATCATATTGTTTTGAAGAGCACATGGAAAAGATCGGAATTGATGTAAAGTTACAGGTAATGGATGTAAAGTGCTAGGAACAGCCAGGATTTTGAGACAGACATTGTCTATATAAACTTGAGATGACAGAATGGGACCTTTGTCAGCTTGTTGCTGACTGCTCCCTCCTATATTATCCGGACCAATTAACATCTAGGTGTCTGTGAATCACTTAATTAGCCATAATAATAATAATAATAATAATGATAATAAAAATATAATATAATAATAATAATAATAATAATAATAAAAATATAATATAATAATAATAATAATAATAATAATAATAATAATAATAATAATAATGGTACAATCGGGCATATCCACTACAAGTGTGGCTCTTCAACTCTAAAATTAAAAGCAAAGTCAAATTACAGGTTCAAAAGTTAACAACAGTTACATATTTATAAAAAAAAGAAGAAATAATGTTTTTTAGTCCAATTTGTTGCTCGCTTTTTCAAATAAATGCTTCTTTAAGTTGGAACAAAATATCGTAAAGCTAGACTTAGATTTTATAGGTCCAGGTAAGGCATTAAAGCACTTTGCAATGGCATCTTCAAAAGTATCTGCTATTAGTGATGGCCTTATACGAGTTTCGTTACTACTTCGCAGTACTTTGTTACAAGTTTGCAGCTCGAGTTTATTAATTGTAGGCCAGTTAGTGTTGTGAATTGCCTTGAAAGTCAGTTTTAATAGGTTGAATTCCCGTCTTTCTGCAATTGGTAGCCAACCAAGTTTCAAGATATCTTTTTTATGGGCATAACTTTTAAGTACGAAGCTTGCCACAGCCTTCTGTAGTCGCTGCAGTTTTTTCAACTGCTGTTGGCTCAAAGGTGAATAAACATAGTCGTTGTAATCAATTTTTGATAGAATCAATGATTCCGCTAATAGTTTACGCGATACATACATTAGATATACTAACTGAATCTGTGCAAGAAGGGAAAATTACAAATGAATACAATTATTGAAAATTGACTCACCAATCTTGTACGAAGCAAGTAAAATCTGGACTGATCAGACAAGTAAGCGAGTTTAAAAAAGCACAGAATGTCACGTGGTTAACGTGATGTTGTAGAAGGCCGCGAAAAAGCACGAAAAGTTTTAAAATCTAGCGTGTCGGGGAAAAGAGACACGCGGGGATACATTAAAGGTGATGCAACTTCTGTACGTGAGTGAAGTTAGTTGAATGAACTGGCAAAAGTGCTTATACGAAAAGCATTAGTTTCGGGTGGTCCTACAGCCAAACTGCAAACAATGTTGCTGATGCTGTACCGGACGTTGCCAATGAATAAAGGACCGGAAGACGTACTCCTGCAGATTTTGCAAGCAGCAAACAGCTTCCGAGTGGCATTTTCTGTACAATCTGAATGAGGCCCAGATAAGTCGTTGGTTCAAAAAAAAGACTCGGTGCGAAGAGGTTAAAATGCTTCTGCAAGGGAGAGCTTTGCTCGGTAGTGTGTAGCAATTGCAACAACTCCTCTACCGGTGCCTAGACCAACGAAGCGACAGCTAACTCATGCTGAACCAGTGACGTATTCTGATCCGACAAACAGAGCAGAGCAGGGGAGGCCAAAATTCGCAGAACAGCTAATAAATCTAGCTCACAAGCATCGAAATCGTTGGCGACCACTGTCACTCAAATAGCAGCAGCAGTTGTGCCCCAATCAGCCATTCCTGTGTCTACACAGCCGCGAGTCTCCAGCTCTCCAGTCTTCATCCTGAGCTCTGCAGATGACCTCCCTTTAACCAATGCTTAATCCTGCTTAACAATCCACTAAAAAGCCCCCTACCTATTTGTCATCATTTCGTATCTATAAGTTTTTTTAATGTTTTTCAGCTTCTGGGAATAACATACCATACTGATTCTTCTAGCAGCATTTTTTGGTAAAAAAACACGTAAGTAAATTCTATGAAAACAAATTGAGTTTCTAGCTTGTTCCAAAATTCTGCAATCTGATTGGCTCCGAAGCTCAAATTTGTTCCGAATTTCAAGTGGCAAATCTACTCGAGATCCATGGCATTGGCCCTGCTTCGTGGTACGTATTTTCGTCAATGTCGGTTCATGAATTCAGAACAAGTTCTACCGTGTAAACAAGCAATCTTGTATATCATGTAGAGTTTTTATCTCGAATATAACTCCGTCTTTTCGATATTTCTCTCGAAGAGCTGCAATGGCGGCCTTTGGCCAAATGAGAAGACTGCTGCAATTTGAAAATTAGGTTAAATATTATTTTGGGGGATACAAAGATAACCCTAGGCATTAACTCCTGAAAGAACAAAAATATCATGCTTATTTTTCCAATTAAATGAAAAATTATACTGTGTACCATTAATTTATCACCATTCTTGTTGCTAAAGATGGAGATTGATGCATTGAAATAAAAAAGAGCCGTTAGATTTCCTCCAAATGCCATAACCTGATTGTATATGCATGTCATTCTACTACTCTTATCACTTTAAGTCATCATCCACAATATCATTATAACAATATATTATGTTACATTTATCGGCTCTCTTCTTAATAATCCATTACATACTCAAAAAATCATTGGTGGACTTGCTGCCAGAAGTTACAGAACTATCATAACATGCCGCGAACAATTGATCTGCACTTTATAAAGTGGCAAAACATACAAATACTCTAGTCAGAAAGATATAAAAAGAGAGAAAATTGTTAAATAAGAAAAAAGAACAAAACAAGGAGAAGAAATTAACAAAATAACTAAGAGTAAACAAGAGAAAAGGATAACACAAGAAAAAAGGATATTTTGCGACACTTGTGTCAGCCATGTTCAGGCTCATGACCCAAGTTTCTTATGATCTTTCTTTTCAGAAAGGAACAAGCACTGTGACCGTCCCAGCCATCAACCCACCTGTTGCTGAGGAAAGGCAACCCGAGCCACAGCTGGTGACATCCTCCCAAACATCTTCCCTCGACGATTCGATGAAGCTCGCAAGGCGCTTCAAATATCGGTCAACAATTGACGCAATTAGAGATCGAATGCATTCTTGGCCTAAACAAAACCCTGTTCCCTTTTCCAGAGAGACTGTAGCAAGTACAAAGCCAATACAAACATGAACACAGTCAAGAAGATTTTCGTCAAATAGATGTCCGTCTATTAATTTATCACCATTCTTGTAGCTAATGATGGAGTATGAAGTATAAAAAAAGATTAAAATAAAAAAGAACCGTTAGATTTCCTTCAAATGCCATAACCTGATTAAATCTGTATGCACTTCATTGTACCACTCTTATCGTTGTTAGTTATCATCCATAATATCAACATTACAATAATATACATTACAATAATATACATTACATTCATTATTTCTTTTCTTAGAAATCCATTTCATATACAAAAATTCATTGGTGGAATTCCTGCCAGAAGTTGAAAAAACTATCATAATATGCCGCGAACAATTGATCTGCACTTTATAAAGTGGCAAAACATACAAATACTCTAGTCAGAAAGATATAAAAAGAGAGAAAATTGTTAAATAAGAAAAAAGAAGAAAACAAGAAAAAGAAATTAACAAACAAACTAAGAGTAAACAAGAGAGAAGTGTAAACCAAGATGTAAAATAGATGAAGGGATATTTTGTTACACTTGTGTCAGCCATGTTTAGGCTGCATTAAGTGGGCATCACCCAAAAGAATAATTGCAACAAACTCTCCTGCGCTCTTTGCCAAGTTGGCAACTTTTATTGACAAGATTCGTAAAGAAGCCTATTTTGGCAAAAATGAGTTTATTTCTTTCTCAGCCTTGAAAAAATCATCGTTCGGGGTGTCTTGTCAACTTTTGTTGACAAGATTCGTAAAGCAGCCTTTTTTGGCAAAAATGTAAGTGAATTTTATCACTGTTATCTTGCTAGACAATCCACTAAAAAGCCCTCTTCCTATTCGTCTTCATTCTGTATTTATCAATGTTTTTTATGTTTTTTTCAGCCTTGAACATACCATCTTTTCAGGTGTCTTGTCAACAAAAGTTGAAATGTCTTGTAAAGCAGCCTTTTTTGGCAAAAATGTAAGTGAATTTCATCACTGTTATCTTGCTAGACAGTCCACTAAGAAGCCCTCTTCCTATTCGTCTTCATTTTGTATTTATCAATGTTTTTTATGTTTTTTTCAGCCTTGAACATACCATCTTTTCAGGTGTCTTGTCAACAAAAGTTGACAAGTCTTGTAAAGCAGCCTTTTTTGGCAAAAATGTAAGTGAATTTCATCACTGTTATCTTGCTAGACAATCAGGTAGGCTCGGTAGATATTTTTTGTGTAGTTATTTCTTGTAGATATATGGTATGAAACTATTGAATGCTTACAAGTTTTGTTTCTATTTTCAGATCTTCGTGGCAAGGGGTTTTGCCTATTTCTCAGTTGGTTGGGTTAGTTTTTTTCTGTTCCTTCAAGGTGTGTACTTGTTCTCTGATAAAACTTATATAATACTAATAAAGCATGCTTTTTTCGAATGGAAGGAAAGCTCAATTCTTTTGAATTTGTTTCCGTTTAGCAAAATGCGGAAATGGAAGGAGCGTCTTGTTGCCTATGCAGAGGGACGTTTCAAATTCTCAACTGGGCAGCGGCCAACTAAAGGAAATCGGTGGTGGAACGAACTGGCTAAGATCGATTCCTGCCCAAGATAAAAATAAGATAATGAAATTAACGAAAATAAGATAATGAAATTGCTTGACAATCCACCAAAAAGCCCCCTTACTATTTGTAAAAGACATAACGACTTTCAGCGAAGGACAAATCCTGCCCCAGGTTTTTTTTATCTAAGGGGGTTGTTGGTGTGAGCTCCAAGGATGAAAAACAGGTACGACTTTAAATGTGTCAATTGCAATTGGCGCCTGAATTCTCTTAAAGGTCTCTAAAATCATGTTCGTCTAGTCTTAGATACGTCGTGTAACTACTATGTGGCCAATGTAAGATTATGGTTATTGTGCATGACCAGAGGATCTTGCAACCCTATATTGGGATCAACAGTACAAGATAGAAAAGGAAAAATTTAAGGATGGTCTTGATCCCCTCAGGAAATCTGGGGCAATTACTTTTATCATGTCGCCAATCAGGTACAAAAAACCATCTGCAGTATTTAAAACAAAAACATTTGATAAAGTTTAATCGAGCGGTCATGGTATATAAAAAGAAAATGTCCTGAAATCCTGAACCAAAAGTGATATTAGACTTCAAAATATGAAACTAGGGCAATTAATGACCTGCAAATATCAAGAACTGATCTTGAGATCACAAGAAATGGCCTATGAAGATGCTAAGGTGTGAAATGTGTCCCAAAGATAAGACAAGAAATGAGCAGCCTGTTGCAATTTGAAAGTTAGATTAAAAACTATTGTAGGGATACAAAGATAACCCTAGGCATAAACTCCTGAAAGAACAAAAACGTCCTGTTTCTTTTTTCCGATTCAATGAAAAAATTATACCGTATACCATTAATTTATCACCACTCTTGCAACTAATGATGGAGATTGATGCATTGAAATAAAAAGAACCATTAGATTTCCTCCAAATGCATAACCTGATTGTATATGCATATCCTTCTACCACTCTTATCACTTTAAGTCATCATCCACAATATCATTATAACAATATATTATGTTACATTTATCGGCTCTCTTCTTAATAATCCATTACATACTCAAAAGATCATTGGTGGACTTGCTGCCAGAAGTTGAAAAAACTATCATAATATGCCGGGAACAATTGATCTGCACTTTATAAAGTGGCAAAACATACAAATGCTCTAGTCAGAAAGATATAAAAAAGAAAAAAAATTGTTAAATAAGAAAAAAGAACAAAACAAGGAAAAGAAAATAAAAAGACCTAAAGAGTAAACAAGAGAAAAGGATAACACAAGAAAAAAGGATATTTTGCGAAACTTGTGTCAGCTATGTTCAGGCTTATGACCCAAGTTTCTTATGACCTTTCTTTTCAGAAAGGAACAAGCACTGTGACCGTCCCAGCCATCAACCCACCTGTTGCTGAGGAAAGGCAACCCGAGCCACAGCTGGTGACATCTTCTCAAACATCTTCCCTCACCGATTCGATGAAGCTTGCAAGGCGCTTCAAATATCGGTCAAAAATTGATGCGATTAGAGATCGAATGCATTCTCGGCCTAAACAAAACCCTGTTCCCTTTTCCAGAGAGACTGTAGCAAGTGCAAGGCCAATACAAACATGCACACAGTCAAGAAGATTGTCTATTAATTTATCATCCTTCTTGTAGCTAATGATGGAGTATGAAGTATAAAAAAAGATTAAAATAAAAAAGAACCGTTAGATTTCCTCCAAATGCCATAAGCTGATTAAATTTGCATGCACTTCATTGTACCACTCTTATCGTTGTTAGTTATCATCCATAATATCAACATTACAATAATATACATTACATTCATTATTTCTCTTCTTAGAAATCCATTTCATATACAAAAATTCATTGGTGGAATTGCTGCCAGAAGTTGAAAAAACTATCATAATATGCCGCGAACAATTGATCTGCACTTTATAAAGTGGCAAAACATACAAATACTCTAGTCAGAAAGATATAAAAAAGAAATAAAATTGTTAAATAAGAAAAAAGAAGAAAACAAGAAAAAGAAATTAACAAACAAACTAAGAGTAAACAAGAGAGAAGTGTAAACCAAGAAGTAAAATAGATGAAGGGATATTTTGTTACACTTGTGTCAGCCATGTTTAGGCTGCATTAAGTGGGCATCACCCAAAAGAATAATTGCAACAAACTCTCCTGCGCTCTTTGCCAAGTTGGCAACTTTTATTGACAAGACTCGTACAGAAGCCTTTTTTGGCAAAAATGTAAGTGGATTTAATCACTGTTATCTTGCTAGACAATCAGGTAGGCTCGGTAGATATTTTTTGTGTAGTTATTTCTTGTAGATATATGGTATGAAAATATTGAATGCTTACAAGTTTTGTTTCTATTTTCAGATCTTCGTGGCAAAGGGTTTTGCCTATTTCTCAGTTGGTTGGGTTAGTGTTTTTCTGTTCCTTCAAGGTGTGTACTTGTTCTCTGACAAAACTTATATAATACTAATAAAGCATGCTTTTTACGAATGGAAGGAAAGCTCAATTCTTTTGAATTTGTTTCCTTTTAGCAAAATGCGGAAATGGAAGGAGCGTCTTGTTGCCTATGCAGAGGGACGTTTCAAATTCTCAACTGGGCAGTGGCCAACTAAAGGAAATCGGTGGTGGAACGAACTGGCTAAGATCGATTCCTGCCCAAGATGAAAATAAGATAATGAAATTAGCGAAAATAAAATAATGAAATTGCTTGACAATCCACCAAAAGCCCCCTTCCTATTTGTAAAAGACATAACGACTTTCAACGAAGGACAAATCCTGCCCCAGGTTTATTTTTATCTAAGGGGGTTGTTGGTGTGAGCTCCAAGAATGACATACAGGTACGACTTTAAATGTTTCAATTGCAATTGGAGCCTGAATTCTAAAGGTCTCTAAAATCATGTTCGTCTAGTCTTAGATACGTCGTGTAACTACTATGTGGCCAATGTAAGATGATGGTTATTGTGCATGACCAGAGGATCTTGCAACCCTATATTGGTTTCAACAGTATAAGACAGGAAAGAAAAAAATGAAAATTGCTCTTGATCCCATCTGAAACTTATGGCAATTACTCTTCTCCTGTCACCAATCAAGTACAAAAAACCATCTGCAGTACTCAAGATAAAACATTTGATAAAGCTTAATCAAGCGGTGATGGTATATCAAGAGATATTGTCCTGAAATTTTGAACCAAAAGTGATATTAGACTTCAAAATATGAAACTAGGGCAATTGATGATCTGCAAATATCAAGAACTGATCTTGAGA